TCGGTTATTACATATATTTTATTGGTATTCGCAACCAACTTCACGGCATTACCATGACAACCATAAACAACCTTTTGACATATACCGATTATTCAAAGTAATTTAAAAAAACGTTATTAAATTTAATTTCTTTACACTAAAGACATAACTTACGTACTAGAGGTACGTAAGTACAATCATCCTTTTTTTTCTTTATAGCATGGTAAAAAAGCATGACGAAGTCGGTCGCTTCGTATTACAATTTCGGTCTTTGAAGTTCGGTGTGCGCGCGCATCGTAAAAATGTTACTGTCATAATATTTTCCAAACGCGCCAAAAGAAGTACTAATGTATCTACAGATATTGAGATATTGGATTAACATCAAATCAAAAGAAATAACTAAAATACTGAACCTGAAGAGGGTGATTTATTATTTTTTATTCAAGTTTTGTCCGTAATCTTCAAAGTGTTAAATTAAAATAGTAAGCACACTGAAGTAGCAAGCACCTATTTACTTAGGTATTCATATTTTTTATTTTGATATCGTAGGTAAATTTGCCATAATTGTATTGCGCCGTGCGACGTTAGGCCGTCCATATAGTATTGTCAAATAATGCATTTCCAATTTTGAAGATTTTACGGCATAGCGTTTGTTAGTACGACTCTCCAGTTCAATAGTTTACTTTACAATAAAGAAGTACATAATTTTGCTCGTACCTAGACTATAGGTAATCTAGCTTTTTTCTATTTTAGGATTATATTTCGATTCTTTTATTACTCGTAATAATTATTAGTTATTGAATCAGAGATTACGTTATAAATATTTTAAATCTACTTGTAAGTAAAAAAACTGAGAATATTTAATCTCGGCAAACTATTTTAAGCTGCTATTGTTCAGGATATTGTTATTTGACAAACCCCCTAGACGTGTCTCCGTTTGAACAGGACTGTGTTGTTTACCACAGTTAATGTTTGTAGCCGTGTGTTTGAATATAAAATTAACGACCATTGAATGCTATTGAAAACGTTGCTTCTTATATGTTCGTCGTAGCTTACTAAGAAATATACAAAATATGTACACGTATATTTAGAAGTTATTGAAATCTAAAAAAAAATTTTTAAAAACCTAGCAAGAGTAGTGTTACATAATTATATAAAAAGTGAATATCAATGTTGTTAAGTGTTATAAGTAAGATGTGTGAGTTGTATGAAATTAAAATTAATTCAAAACAAGACATGTCCTAACCGAAATTTAATATCAGTGTAGATTTAATTAATGTCAAATGCGAAGGAAATAAGTCATATGATTCAAAGGTTGCGGGCTTGTATCAGAATTGAATGCAAAAAAACAAGACAGGTTTATTCATCATTGACGATCACTTCATAACAATAATCTCATCGCCTTTCACGTTCCGTAGTTTATAAATTTTGCAAGGAGCATATTTTCGAATCTTTCTGTCCCACCAAATGACATCATGTACAAATACTAGCTGACCCGGCCAACGTTGTTTTGCCATATAAATTATTTGTAGGGTAGGAAAGAATTTTATTGGGGTGGACCACCCTTAATATTTAGTGGGATGAAAAATAGATGTTGTCCGATTCTCCACGCTGGCCTATATGCACACAAAATTTCACGAAAATCGGTCGAGCCGTTTCGGAGCCGCGCAGTATCGACATACGTCAACTTTATTAGAAAATCATTGGTCTCACCTCTACGTGATAAATAGTCGCGAGAAATATCATCTTGTTCAAGTCCCGTGCTTAACGCGCCTTCTAAAAGGTCAACTGTTATAGGAACTTGGTTTCAGAGCATGTTTACAATGAGCAATTTCTCAGCTCTTTCTTTGATTTTACTTTTAATTCAATCGAACTCGTCGGGTCGGTTGCATCACGCGGCGTGACCGAGCCGCGTGAGGTGACCGTCACCGTTCATGAATATTTAAACTGGACGGTTAAATATTGACCGAACGCATAAATACTTCATAAGCTGGAAGGTTACAGACAAGAATCCACCTCCATATCAGATTTATGAGCTGGCGTAAGAAGTTTTGTTCTTTTATATACAAAAATATAAAATGTAAGTCACTCAAATAAAGTTTAAAACTAAATTAAAATTATCTTTCTGTTATGAAATAATTAATAATTTTAATATAATAATTTTTTTACTGATTGATGCGATCAATACTTATAATTACAATACTATAAGTGAATGCAGTTTATTATAGATATATTTATTATTTAGTTAGGTACATATGATTTCATATTGCAAGATCTTCCAAGTCAAAGTTTGTAACCATAAATAATAATAACCAGCAGATTATAAAAGAAATTAATATTCACGTGCACTTCGTGTATTCTTTGATTTTATCGGTCATTCTTTTCATTGAAAGACGGATGTCGTGTACGCAGGCCTACGACTGTGTGATTATATATTATGATCACTTACCTACATCATAAAAGCCGTGGTAGCATAGTGGTTTGTTGTTTTACCGTCTAATTAAATCAGAATTCACACCATGAGTGATATATATGAACGTTAATTTCAATCATGTTCTTCTGTTAATATAAATATTACTGTAAATTATTACGTAATAAATCCTCTTGGAAAACCTTTTCGAATTTTATCCTATTTGATGGATCCTTTGTCTGCCTCTCATCTAAAGGGTATTTCGGTCAAGGGCGGGGCGCCATCGGAGGCAGCTGAAGAAAGTGGCCCAAATATGAGTCTCTTTGTTCAGATTATGTATTTGTGCCATTTGCTGTTGGAAGCTTAGGACTTGGGGGTTGGAAAAATAATTTTATGATGTTTTTTAATGGTAACAAAAATTATTAAGAGGTGCTTAGACGCAAGAAAATGGACTGATTGAATACTTTAGAACTTTTCTCTACCACAACAAATGAATGACACATTGTGCGTATAGTAACCAACTATCGGCACAATATAATTATGTTTTCTAACAACGTCACGTTACAGTTTTTATTTTTGTTTTTATTTATATTACCCTAACTGTAGGATTCTGTGTTGCAAGGACGTTTTACATAGGTACATATAAATTTTACGTTGACAAACACCTAGGTGTCTTGTTGTTGTCGGATCTAGATCCGACTGAATTATCCGCGGGTCACACAAATAGTTGTCACGTGTGGGAATCGAACCCTCTATGTCAAAGCCGGTACCTTGGCAACTGCGCCGTGAACTCATCAAAAATGCAGATAAATGCGGGATTCTCATGATTTTTCACAGACGGAACTGTTTGGCGTATGTTTTATAATCTGAATGTCAAATACGCCGCGGGCGACCGTTATGTAAGATTCCATTTTCACGGGTACAAGATCACAAATGGCATCTGCCCAACTGGCTTTACCGTTGCTCGATTGGTATCGCTAATAGCTATGAATTCTCGATGTCCTGTTACACATATTCCTCTCACAGCTCACACTATAGCCACAGTCATTAAGTGGTCCGTCTTCAATTTAGATTATACCTCCTGGTTCATTTGTCATTCATATTATTTAATTAATTACGCTACTATATATCTTATGTAAACACTACCAAGCAATATTCGTTGAAACATTATTAAAATAAGTATTTTTACCAACCGTATTGGTCATTGTTTAAAAAAAATGATCGCTTAACAGTTGAAAAATAATGAAAAAAATAAATGTTTATGAAACAGTCGACAACGGAACTGTCCTATGTTTTGATTAGCACCGGTAGCTCGTAAATTTCGAGGTTATAGCAAAAAAGTGAATGAGCGACTACCTACAGTGTAATACTTGCGTGTGAACTCCAATAAAATAAATACGTTATTATAAAAGTAAGGTTTAACTATGACGGTAAAACCAACATCTTGACTTTTCTTCGTGCGGTATTATGCGGGGACTATTCTTTACAGAAAAAAGATAAAAATCGTTAATGATTCTTAACTTATCGTTCGGCATGACACGCAAGTTCCTGCAATACGTGCGGATCGGCAATTGATTCAAACCACGCGCTTCCTCATTGCGTGCGTTTGAATGACCCCACTTATCGAACTATCACCGTCGTCTCCTTTGCTGATTTAAAAATTTTATTTAAAATCTTTACACAGACTCATAAAATCTTAATGTGTTGAAACGTGCTTTTATTTTTATTTACGAACCGACGTCGTTGTCTTTTGATTTAATATCACTGATTTTAGTGCTTTAGCTCCTAGACTATTAAAGCTTCACTGGAGCTTCATCTTTTAAAATCATAAAAGTATTGAATAAAATAATTTGTCTGCAAAACACTCAACAACACTTGAAAATAGTATTGCCCTTAACCATATATTTTATGTGTTGAAAAGGAATAGGCCCTCTTTTATTTTTTAATACGAATTGGAATTTTTCAAAACGGTGACATGTACGTCTGTTCAAATATTTCCTAATGGTGAATGTTTTATCTTTTCATTGTTGAAGCAACAGAGGAAATTGAAAGAAGGGCATACAAAGGCATTCTCAGACTGTATTTCATCGATATCAACGGGACAGCGACGCGACAGCATTGACTGTGCAATGTATTTCTTTATTAGGAGTTGGCTAAGTTCGCTTTTGTCTTATTCGCTGACTTGGTCCCAGAGCGGTCTGTGTTACAAGTACATATATCCTTGAATTATCCAAACAAAGAAAGTCTGGTCTGTAATTGTATGTATGTGATTCAATTAAAAATAAAATTTTATAGAAGTATGCACACTTTTGATGCACGTACATATTTCAACGTTATTCAGTTTCGATATGTTATTTGCTTTTTTGTTAGAAAGCTAATTACATATGAAACTATTTTTTTAGTACCTAGTTCTTTCTTCTACTGGTTCTTTCTTAGAAGATTTCAAATGAAGTGGCATCTAATCTAATCTAATCTAAGCGAATTTAAATGAAGCTTTCACGCTTATTACACGACGAGGTCATGTATGCATTAACGATTGTACCTAAATGTGATCCGTGAGATTTTACCTAAATAAGGCGATGCCGCTATATGATTAGTAACAAGGACTTACGTCATCAGTGGACATGGTGTTGCAGCCCTTGAGGGGGAGGGTGTACTGCAGGTCGCCTCGGGCCGACACGTACTCTCGGAGACAAGAGGAGTTGCTGCCCAGGCCCGCCGGGTAAACGATGCCGTTGAACGTGTCGTAGACACTGCGAAAGGAGCAATATGAATTTACTCGATGGACTATGCCCTCTTTACAGATGAGGCCTATGGCTAGCAATAAGACATATATAGGACAGAAAGAAAGAAATATTTATTCGGCACATTACATTACAGGAGAAAAATAAAGAACGAGAAATAACGCTGTAAGAATGTATGCACCAAAAAGGTCTCAGTATATAGCCGTGGCAGACAATACCACGGTACTGGTTTTCTGCGGATATAGGCTTTAACTACCAGGTACATAGGCTTTTACTTTAAAGAACGTCTCAAAAACTATGATCCTATTTGGGTAGAAAGGCTCTTGCATCCGTCTTGCTGTTTGCATCCTAAACTATTAAAAGTTTTTGTTTTTCTTATTCATTTAAGTATAGGAAAGTCAGTGTAGTGCTGAGTCTACGATCGGCCTAAGAGGGTCACAGGTTCTTTAATTCAGATTTTTAATGTGCAAAACCGTTGCCATACTTAAGCTCTACAGTAATTCACTGTATGAATGACTGAATTGTTGGGTCTTTAATACAAGCCTTAGTTTTGGTGAAAAGAGGTTAGGACTGGATTTTATCCGCTCTTCATTCTTCAATGACTAAAGATATTAGAGCTCATATACATGTACATATGTAGTACCTAAAAAAATAAGAACTGGGGTTGTTACTCACTAGTTGAATATTCATTCAAATATTCCGAATATAATAATAAATTGCGGTTTATAGTGATGAACGTCTTTATAAGGAGGAGGAATATAATTTCATTTTTAACAATAAAATATTAATAACCAATAGGATCTCCATTAGGAGAATAGGATATTGAACAAGCGACGTAAAATATATTTGTTATTCCTGTATCTTGCATACAATGAGGAACATGTCAATAATAGTATTTCGTCAATACGGCATTGAGTCATCGACAGCCAGTATGGATTCTACAGATGTAATATTTGCACTTTCTATTGTTTTGTAACTTCATGAATGAAATATAGATAACACAAGAAGCACAATGATGGTATAGTGCAGTTCTCATAGATCTATATTTGTTAGGGTATGTGTATAATATGGTGTGTACAATTGTAATATTTGTGAACATTTATTGGCTACCATTTCAGCGGTTTTGCATCGTGTTGAATCATGAATGTGTTTGAAAATTTTACTGTGGTAGGCCACGCCGTAGCTGCTGTTTTTGCACGATTAGGAAGTCTCCTCCGGCAAAGCACTAGGACCTCACAGAAGACCGACTCGAAGTGGAAGTGTTATACTTCTGCGTTTCGTTTACACGTTTCACAGCGGTAGTTTAAAAAAAAAACACAGCACCAGGTGAAAATCACAAGCAAAATTTTCACATAAAATATGGAGATAAATGTTTACTGCCATGTTGAATCATCGTATTGTGCAATGGTGCATGAAAATCAAAATAAATAAATATGTTTTGTTTATAATAAGGAAACCTTAATATGACGACAGTTTCACTGTATACAATAATAATCGGGTCACCAAAAATAAGTTACTACCATTTATGACTAATTGTAATCGCATTTTAAAACGCTTTTTTTATTTTCCGTTATATGTATAGCTCAGTACTTTAAAGGCCGCACGTAGTTAAAACCGTTTAAGGCTCACTAGCATATACTGCACATTTATTGGATGTACCGCTTAAAATAGAAATAACCTGTATTCGTTTTCTGCCGCACATTCAGTTCAAAAAAAAGGGCGAGACTGCATAATTTTCGAGCGAATCGCTCGCCGCCTCTAAAAGTGCACGAAGACGACTTAAATTATTCATTTGGTATACACTGCAGATACCTTCACCTCCAGCAGTCCAGACAGAAAAGGAATAAAAGCGCCGAATACCTGTTCTCGTGGGGCTGCGTGTGCGCGAGGGAGATGGTCACGTGCATGTTGTCTCGCTCGCACGCGACGGTGAGCGTGTCGAGAGGCGCCAGCGCCCCGGGCCATGGAGTCGTGGCGAGATCGGTTGCCGTCGCGACCGACGTGGTCACCAGCTCTGTTGGCGGGAGAAACGATTGACGTCAGATAAGAAAACACAGATAACTAGCTGCTGCCCGCGACTACGTCTGCTTAGAATAGGCCGAAGGCGTAACATTCAGACAGAAATACAGATATACGTAAAAATATGCATATAAATTATAGCCTATATGTAATGTGATGTATAAGCTATATTATTGTAAAGTTTCATTCAGTAGTATTTGCGTGAAAGTGTAACAACCATCCATCCATGCATACAAACTTTCGCTTTTATAATATTAGTACGGAAGTAAGGATTAATTGCAAAGGTCTCTCACGAGACTCGACACCCCGTATATAATTTAGCCCTTAACACCGTAATAAGCCGTAAAACTATGGAACTCTTTCTTACCCTTGCCTTGCAAGTCCCCAGGTTGTTGCCAATTGTTAAAACTATGATTGACGTAAAAAAAGAAGAAGACGTAGAAATAAAAATATATTTTTTTAATTCACCATAAAAAAAAGAAAAATCTGTAAATTGCAGTTAACATAGTTGTAAATTTTTATTATTATTAAGATAAAGAAGTACATCCCACAGAATTCAATGTGCGCAGGTGAAAATTTTAAATTCATTTAAATAAATTAACTGTTAAATTAACTTACTTGAATACTTTATCAGCCAGAACAAACCTAGGTTCAGCAACACTAGTCCAATAAAAGAACCCAACGAGTACTGTACATGGAATATTCGTAATGTTTTACTGATGGTCTGACAAGTCAGAACATAAATTTAGTAAAATGTGTAAGTGTTAAAAAAAACATTTCCCTTACTGTTAGGAAGAAGGAAGGAAGTTGTACGTCCATAAATTTCATGAGGACATACACCCAGATCCGAATCAATTACCTGTGTTTCACTCATATAGAATTGAACCCACGACGTGCGGCGCCAAAGCCAATACATTGGTCACTGCATCACGGAGCCATCAAATCGTTTCAATGAGGCAAGAAGTTATTACGGCATTTCAAGCCGGGAAGATATTCCGGAGAAATTCAAAACTGACCCTGTTGTTGAATTGGATGATATCAATAAAGAAATAAATATTTCAACACTACAGCTTTGCCAATTATAAAAGGTACCTGTAATTTACTGTACTTCGTAATATTTTGTACTACGTCTTCGTAATGTACTGTGTATTGTACTGTACTACATCTGTTAATTTAAGGTACCTGTAGTTTATTGATACCATCGATATTTAATCTTGGCAAATTTTAATTGACTTGTCATTATTTATGACTTAGCTCTTTATCTGTTTCGATAATACTTTTTTAATTCTTTTTATTTATTAGATAATGAAGACGGTTACAAAATTGTGTAATATCATATCATATATTTGCGTTGATTTAATTAATATGCGGCATGCAAACAGTACCTACATTTTCACAAATGTTTCTTCTCGTTATCAATGATTTTAACTTAAGATCTCTTCAGATAATTCTGAACGGCGTTGTTATCGATAACCAACGATTTCTTAGAATTTGATCACCGTATCTATTGTATCAAGATTATTCATTTAAAGATACATATCAAGGAGTGTGGGGGTATTCAGATCCAAATTTTTTTGTGTTCCCAATGTCATCTTAATAGTAACCTTACTGTATATGGGCTCAAAAATTGGGAACTAAACCTCACAAAATAATATTAACCCACAATTATAAACTATTTATATATTACTCCTTAAAATTTAAGTACCATATACCCATGATAGCGTTCGTATGTAATTATCATTCTTATATCGAGTTGGAATTTTCTCAAAGGAACTGTGTAAGTGAGTTTAATTGCCCACACGGTCAAGCTGCTGGCAATTCCAAATAATGAATGAATACTTACTGAAGATATTAAAAAAAATGAGCGATCGAACCGATAAAAGGGACAGACAAACGACGGAAACGGCAAATACGTACGTTTAACTGCGATATAGTTACTGCCTTATGTAATGGATAGAAATGATTTAATCAGAGAGCATAACAAATTCTTCTGTTACTTATGAGCGATTTGCAATTAGCGCGTTAGAAAGCGCACTTGGTTGATGAAAAAACGACTTTATTGTACGTAACGATTAGAGGCGGAACTCTGGTGATCTAACTATTACTGGTATACAAAAAAGTAGCTAACATCTATGATGATTTTCCACATTAAAATCACCGAGTGTAAAGAGGTAAATTTGCTAATGTCTGACGCAATGACGGAAATTCCGTAGTAACAAATGAGTTGGCTAAGAGTAAATAAAGAGATAAATTCGTGTGTTCTCTAAAATATCGTAAAAAGAGGTAGGTGAACTATTAATTTAATAATTTACTGAATACTTTTGAAAATTTTTATCGATTCAAATAAAAAAAAAAAAAGATTTGTGTGTCACCCATTTTTAAGCGTGACACTTGTGGCAATGGTGAAACTAGCACTTTGGGTGTCCCTTAAAGTTTGGGAATCGATGGTGAAATCGGGAATTACCTATATATTTATCTTAATGTATATAGAATATGAAATGGTATTTATTAGATGTTACAATTCAGTAAAATGATAGTTTGAAACGTTTGAACAAGAAAAACAAAACAAGCAGTAGATGTAAATATTCCTTTTACGAGACTAATTTAGCTAAATTGTCATCGTCATCTAGTCTATAAAACTGTTTTCAAGTAAAGGTACAGGCAAAAGTAATACTTGTCGAATAAAGTAAAGAAATGTTCTCATAAAAGTCTTAAATTTCGCGTAATATTACCGCCTTACTGTGAACCCATATAATATTACCCCATACTGTGAATAGCATTTACATTTGTTTCCACTTCGGAATTAACTTACAGGCCGTTTATATAACGAAAACCCTCTACATTCTAAGTAATTCAGCGGTGCCATTGCAGCATAAAATTACCGTCGCATTACACTGACAATTTGTAAGCAGAAACTTAAGCCGGTGTCTCTTAAAGGATGCGCGTGCGCTGTCCCGCCCGGCGCTGTTGAGGAACGTAGGGGGCAGGGGGAGCAGGGTCAACAACCTGCCGTCCACACCGCTGCCCACTAAAACGCACCATCGGAATATTGCTACAGTGTAGCTGTACTTAAGAAGTGTCTGGTTAAAGCAAAACGCACGAAAGTCCGGTCTGAAAAGCTTCCGCGCTATAACAGTAGTCATGGATACGCTAATTGGGTTCAGCCTTTGAACTAGATTGCAGCAGCGTTATTATATCATCATCAAACAAGAATTACATTATCATATATTGTATAGTATTATATCAGCAGTTGTTGTACTGCTCAATTTCTTTGTATAAAAATGTTTACAAGTGGTGAATCGAAATGCAACCGTCAGCATTTTTACACTTAACACAAAAGGTATTTCGGTTGCGTTTTTAAGAAGGCAATAAAGCATCGGCTTCGCATAGACTTCTTGTAGAGATGAATTTCAGACCTTCCTGAGACATTGGAAAGAGGAAGTGAGTGACTTGCGAGAGGAGTGAGAGAGACAGGAAGCCCTTTTTTTAGCAGGGTGAATTGATAAGCAAACTAAAACAATAAAAGGTAAATAGCCGGCAGGCATTAGTCTATATCCAATAAATGGTGCTGTATCTTAAAATTTTAAAGTTGTGTGATAGTAATATATTGTATTAATTCGACGTCATTCCTCGTAAAATCTTTCAGAGGTGACATCAGTTAGCTGCAAACGCATCATCCCAATATAAATATGAAGAAGAGTAAATGTTTTTAACTTCACCTAAAAGTATAGGAAGAGTGACCAATCGGATCGAATTAAGTATGCTTAGAATACTAGATAAGAGTAATAAATTTGAAACTTACCGGTAGTGGACGGAATTTGTTTGGAACGCGCGGTCGATACCAGCGCCACTACCAACAGGAATTTCCACATGGTTCAGTCTGAAAAAATGATACGGTATTTTAACGAATTCAAAATAAAACTCTTTGTAGCCAAGGAATTACAAAAGCAGTTTAAGAATTTTTCATTATCAACTTCAAAAATCCCTACTCCACAATTGAGGTAACACTTTGGACCCTAACATTTACTTAACAAAAAAATGATTGAGATATATCTATTCTTATCGATGTCACTGCGTATTTATTAAGCCATAGAAGTAAGAGTAACTATGTACACAAAAATGTGAGATCGATCGTATACATATTTGGGCGTATATAAAAAAAGGATAAATGTAGCGTTGGGTAAATATTTCAATTAAAAACTATTTTTTTTATTGGACAAGATGGGGAACACTGCCAATGGGTATCTATAATATCTAAGCTGCGAAACTGGTGCATTGCCAACGTTTCACAAATGTTGTGTCCGGTTACCAGACTTAGTGGAGGAAATGCAAAACTGTAATGCTTCCAATTTACACAGCTGTTCTAAGAGACTATGGTATTTCTCCAGACGAGAACCATGCTCTATACGAAGACGACGTAATTTTCTTCCCACCTACTAAAGTTGTGTTCGCTTAGTTATTTCTGTCGATCCTTGGCTATGCTGATACTTGCTATCTTCAAATTACCGAAATGCGGTTTCATGAACTTGAGTGATTTCAAATTTTGTGCCAACTATTTTTTTGGATGACAAGTGAGCCGCCCATGGACATTTGTAACACGCTGAACACAATGCGTTCTCCTCCGACCGGCTTGTCGTGCCAGTGGGGCTTAGTGGCCATGGCTTGGCCATTCGTACTACAGAGAAGATTGCTGCGTGGCCCTATCATAGTACTGATATTTGGGCTTTGTAAATATGCATTTTGTTAACAGTTCAAGATGCTCCCAATACGTCATCCCAGGAACACACAGTCATATTCTTTCTGATTTGTATTTTAAGTTGTTGAATCTGTTCACTCCAAAATACTTTAAACACCGTTCTCCCATGAAAGTTACATTCGTTCTTCTGTCAATCTCTCCCTCCAAACTCCTGAACTTTCCTCCTTTTTTTCAAGATATATTTTTCGGTCACGTATCCCTTTCTTATTTCCTTTTCTCTTCTTGGGAATCTTTTTCATCTACACGTTTAATGTGCTAAGTCTGATTTTTCATTTAACCCTGACTATCTAAAGCTCATTAAAGTTCTTTTATCTACGCTTTAACCCTGTGTCTAATATTACTTTATGTATGCACATTTCCGTCAGCACCCTTATTCATGTTTTTATTAATGCTATTCAGATAACAATGGCATTCTGGAAGAATTCTCATTCAAAGCGAAAAGACAGCCTATTTTATATTTGCACTGTTCTGTATTTTGTATCTATTCATGTGTATGGAGTACAATAAACAATTAATTGAATTATGTGTTAATACAGACAACAATATTTTCCATTAAATTTGTTATTCCATTCTTTAATGTTCAATTCCATTCTTTCCTAGAGCGCTAGCCTCCTGACCTATCAAGCATGACCTAATGTGCATTGCAATAATATACGTAACTCGAGATCTACGTCCCACTGAACGCTCGGCCTTCTCTTATAACCACGGTTATACAGTCGACTAGTGCTACATGTACCTTTTTTGGTATTCACTGTCTTCCTGCTGGTTTGGTGATACAATGAAGTGGGAAGAATTCATAGTTAAATAATTTTTAAATTTCTATTGCCCTATAGGACTGTGTTTTATTTATAGACGGATTTGGAAAACTTATAATTTTAAATTCTTACTTTACTGAGATATTGTAAACAGGTTCTTTTTCTCGATAATATATCGAATAACAAATTAAGGAAACCTGGTGATACGAGAATATAGTCTTTGACGTATGTGGTTTATAGACCACGGAATTTTAAATTTTCATAATATTTTTACTGGAATTAAATTACGACTTTGGAGTGGAAATTGTAACGTTTATTTATCTTCAGAAAAATTGTGACGTTAATATTACCGTTTGGTCATCATTCGAGACCCAAAACTGTACAGCTGTAAAATTTATTAGCATTTACTATCTAATAATGAAATTTTTAATTTTTTCTATTCATGACTCTGTGGCGCCGTTGCTAAGCTATTGGCTTCAGCATCGGGGGCATGGGTTAGATTCCCCACACGGGAGAAGTATTTGTGTAACCCCCAGAAAATTGTTACGGATCTGGATGTTTATTTCCCAAGGAGGGTTGACGTCAGGCGGCCGCTCGAACAAAGCATAGCAAAAACCGTTTACAACATGATTCACATGTTGTGCCGACCTCACCTAGGTGCGATGATATTGATGCCGTTTGATTTATTGACCATTTTTTCTCAACGATTGGAGTAATTTTTTTTGTTCTTTTTTTTGTTGTGGTTCTAAAGAACACTCTGCACATTATTTGAATACGTGACGCATATAATAGACACGCATGCAAATATAGCCTACAAAATTGTAACGAATATGTAAACAGGTGTCGTTGGAAGCCGGGTCGGATTCTGATTGCGATATATCGATCCGAACTCAGCCTAATGATGCAACGTTTGGATAGAGCGCGTGCAACAAGTGCGGCACACTTATATTGAGTCGGTAAATCTACAGCGATATATATGGACTTTATAGGAATGCAGCTGTAAAAACGAATAGTTGGCTTTCATTCACCTTTGTATCATATTTCGTTATATTATAAAATGAACTAACATATTTTGGTTATTTTAATTACTTAATTGTTTATCATTATATAATATATCATTCTTCTGTATGTGTGTATGTCACTGAACTCCACTTAAACGGCTGGACCGAATGAGAGTTTAGATTCATAAAATTATTCAAGAAGTTTGAAATTTTCGAATTTACGTCGTGTGTACAGGATAACGTCTCTCCGGTCCGCTAGAATTATATGTATTATACCAGCGACCCGCCTCGTCTTCGCACGGGTGCAATGCATTATATAACAGTTTATACAATACGTATAAACCTTCCTCGCGAATCATTCTATCTAGTAAAAAAAACGGCATCAAGATCCATTGCGTAGTTTTCAAGATCTAAGCATACATAGAGACAGACAGACAGCGGGACGACTTTGTTTTATACTATGTAATGATTTTGCTCATGTTTATTGCTGTGGTGGTGTTTTAAACCCCAAATAATACAATACGTATTTGGAACATGTGCGTCTCTCTTGGACGCCAATTTATTTAAACAGTTTGGCTGGACAGGCTTCCTTCGAGGCAGGTCACCCCAAAACTATAACTTGGGATTTTACATTTAAGTGACCGAAGCCAGTTTACCTAACAACTTAGTTGTTATACGAATATAAATAAAATACAAGATTTACTAAGGGCAAAATGGAAAGGAAACATGACTATCTAGTTTTATTCCAGGTTATTCTAACACAAGAGGCATATGCTAGGCTAGGCTATTGGTCAATTTTGAATCTTGTGATATTTATGTTATTTTTGACAGTAGACATTTTTGGGACCCCTGAACATAGCGGATTCAGTGCATATAAGTACTGTCAAATATCAGTTGTTGACCTGATGTTAAAAAATAATAATAAAAAATAATAAAACCTGATGTTAAGTAATAATTGCCGCCCATTGACAATTGCGAGGGTTGCAGATGCTTTACCAACTTTTAATAAAATTGCGATCAATGGTAATTTTGCAACGTTTTAAGCTTTTATGATATCATAAGTATATACTGCAGGCCGTTCTAACGAATAGGAAAAGCTTTTTATGAATTTGCCTGGCGTTGGCGCAATCGCTTTTGCCGTTCACTACACATAATCATGGCGGACCGTGGCCCACAACTTTGGCCTGAAGGTAACTTATCTTTCACTCAGTTGCAAATAGTACGTGTCCATTTTTGAGGCTATTTTAATATTGGATTAAGCTCACAATATTCTGTACTCCAGATTCTTTTGCTCAGAAGTGCAGCCTGTACTAAAGTATGTATGTTATAGCTTTTGCCTTTACTTCCCATTAAACATTAAGTTACTCTATTAAACATTATAGTCTCTGTCTGTTTTAAATTCGAGTAAGTTTGTGCAGGAACATTGTAGCAACTTCTTATTATAAATCAAATGATATTCTATTTAATATTCGTATAATTAATTTTTTTCAATATAAAGCTCTATGAATAATAAATTAGGTATTTCCATTTCATAGAGCCACCAAATGAACATTTAGCAAGTTACGCCAGAAAAAACAGAGCCGAGTCATTTGCGCCCTCAAATGTTACAAAAAGCAACAACAAAAAGCACTTCAGGCTGCATTTTAATAATAGCGTCCGCGAATAGGTAACACGTAAGGCTGCTGTTTACGTATGTCTCGACCCGGAAGTCGAGTCAAGGTCCGTCGAGCGTGACATCAAGGTGAAGACGCACCGGTTTTGTGAATTATTACAATTAATGTGCCCCCGTAATTATGGTATCAGGCGGCAGTTTCCGGTTTGTGGCTAGAGCGATTTGTACCTTAATGGAAAACTGTGCCATTTACGATTATATATGACAATTTTAAGTAACTTAAGCAAAGAGTTATACCACGTCTTATAAACTTTGATGTTAAACTGCAACTAGTTGGCCAAAGACAGATTATTAAGCTTACATAGTACTTAAATGAAACAGATATGTTTTGATTTAGAATGTTTCGCAGGCTAGACAAAAAAGAATAACTTTATAACACTAACGTTTTAAATAGTAGTTTTACACTATTTGTGTCGTTTAATTTTGGCCTACTCAAAGAGCAACATGCCGGCCTTGTAGGCATACTTTTGCATTTAAAGTACCGAAAATTAAGGCGTCATATGTAGAGAAAGCATTTTTTACATAGCCGTATCACAGATACGTCCATATGCTATGGATATTTTATTTTGTTACATTATTTTACGTTACACGTTTTGCTTTATCCATGGGAGACGTTAAATAGTATTCTTTTTTATTCTATTAGTAGCGACCTTCCAGACGAACCGACAATTAAATGTCAATAAATTTG